TTTACATTTTGCTTTGTAATTAAAAAATTAATGAATTAATGAAAAGCAAAAAGCTTGAATCTTATAATTTGGCATGTTCTGCAGAGGGTAAACCATATATGTAATTTGTGTTAGGCCCTTTCACATATATTGAATACTTCTACATTCACAATCAGTTAGTTATTTTTTATACTTAAAATTATCTAAGAAGACTTTTTTGTAGATAAACAATTTTTGCCGGGTTAGCTAATATTTATATACATATGTAAATATACATATAGATTAGAGTGGTCCTTAATATGGATGTTCTCAAAATTTCTTGCTTCCAGGAGCTCAAATGTTTCCAAATTAATAAAAAAAATTCTCTGGAAGTTTTAGCGCTTATAATGTTAACTATAATATGGTCTGCACTCCAACCAAAGTTTCTTGGTTCTTCCTAAGTAAATACTTATTTTATAAAATAAATCAAATTCTTGTTGTAATTTTTTTATTTATGATCAAAATAAGCAAATACAATGTGATTCTCAAAATTTTGATTCATCTGTTGCTAAGTTATAAAACAAATCGAATTTTCCCATGTTACTTCCATAGAAACTTAGGTTGGAGTGCGACTACCTTAAATTTGGAAGCATTTGAGCCCCTAGGAGAAAGGAAATTTAAAAACATTCATATTAAGTACCACCCTTATATAATTGTATATATTTTTATACATCTATGTCTAAATCTATATCCTATGTTCGTTTCTCTAAAACAAAAAGTATCAATAATCTTGTAGTAAATTTCTACTCTCATTGTAATAGGTATATGTCTGTCACCAAACAGATGATTATCAAAACCAAATGCGATTGCAATCATAAAGGATACTTAATTCAATAAATATATACCCATATCAATTTGTGAGTGTGTCTACACTTCAACAGTCGTCCATACAATCAAAAGAGAGTATTAAAGTTATCAGTCCGGAGTCAAGTCTTCTAATATGTATGTCGACATAGTTATCTTAGTTATCGCCAGCAAAGTCACGCATCGTTTTGTACACACAAATACTAAAGAATATTTAATATATTCCATCTACATGTTGCCATCTCACAGTCACAATCAGTTCGTTTTACACTTGTACTTTTGACACAAGACTATGTGGAGATGATGCTCCACATATGTAATATAGGAGTAAGACTATAGAGGAGTAGAAAAATTAGAGCGGATTCAGGTGTTTTCAGAATAACAGTATAGAACACCTTTTTAAATACCTATGGGTATTTAGGAATTAAAATATAAATGTGTGAGTGATACGTGTGCGTTAAAAAAAATCAAGCATAGTCCTTCAACAACTACATAAAACCATACCCTTTAAGTATTTTATACGCCATTTAACATATTTTTTATTGGACTCAGAATGAATACTTAATATTTAAGCATATTTAGCCACCAACAACATTTCATTTTTATATACTATACTATGTTTTATATATATTCAATTCTATCATTGTATATGTTCTATACATTATTTTCTATATATTCTATATAGTCCTTGTATATGTTCTATATTTTATATTCTATATATTCTATATTATCTTTGTATATATTCTATACTTTCTTTTCTATATATTCTATATTACCTTTATATAACTTTTATACTCATAAGAAACCATACCTCTAAAATGAATTCTGATGTCCCGTGTCTTGACACAAAAATAAGGGTTAAACTTTAACAAATTCCATTTTGACCCATTCAGAGTGCCCAAATATATGACCGACCGGTTCGCGGTTCAACCCCTGGGGTACCACTTGAGAGGTTTTTCAAAATTTAATCCTTATCTTTGGGTCAATGCACGGGACATCAGAATTCATTTTAGAAGTATGGTTTCTTCAGCAAAGTATCTTATTTTGATCCCTAGAATCGAAAAATCAAATGTGCCTGAGTGATCCAAAAATCATATGTGCCTTTAAATCGAACCGCCCTAAAATAAATATATCTATATATATATATATCCTCTTATATCCAATTATCTTTTCTTGATATTTACATCTGATATCTTCATTCTTCTTGTCTTTTAAATCTGACCTTGTCCAATTATAATATTACTTTTCTTCTTGGATCCATTTCTGTATTCAAATTCAACTCTACAATTCAAAATCTATTTGATTTCAAATTAACTATTTTTAAATTTTACTATATTACTATGCAATTTCAAATCAACAATTCAAATTTTATTTAATTTTAACACAACATTTCAAATTCTATGATATTGCCAGAGATCTCAGAATGATCTCTGGTAGATGGCGTGTGAGTCGGTCACGCTACTGACTGAGCTATTTCCGCCATTCAAATACTTTATAATGTGCAATGTATAAGTTAAGAAAATCTTACCAAAAATAAAAGTAACCCAGAAGTGTTTTAGGGAAAATTTTGAATTGACTAAATGACATATATAAATAATTAACTGAATATAATATATAAACTATTGTTTAGTATTAATAATAATGTTTGCAGTAACTACTTTAAAATTAAATCAAAGACTAATCATTGTCGATTAATAGAAACAGACAGTTTGATATTTATTTTGTATTTGATCCCCATGATTAGTAGAAATAAAATTTTATTAGAAATACCTAATGCTATTTAATTTCGATTTTTAACTTCCCGTAGGGCAAGTTATAGTAATCGCAAAAAAATCGAAAATGAAAATTTTTATATATCTTTACATTTCAGAGGTTTCTGAACATTTTGGCATACCTTAGAAAAAATGGATGTATGTGTGTGTGTGTGTGTGTGTGTGTGTATGTATGTATGTATGTATGTATGTATGTATGTATGTATGTATGTACGTGTGTGTATGTATGTGCGGATACAAATTTTCGTCGACGATTTCGGGAACACGGATCAACCGATTTGAATAATTCAAAAAACATTCGATTCGTATTGATAAGAAGACGTGCTGATTAGTTTTTGGCAAAGGCAGGTTTAGCCGTTCCGAAGATACGGGGCAAAAAGTGCCAAAAACGGTACCTTCGTTTTTAAGAGAACGGGGCGTCCGATTTGAATAATTCAAAAAACATTTTACTTGTATTGACAAGATGTAGAATTGATCAAATTTTCATGAAGGCAGGTCTAGCGGTTTCGGAGATCTAATAAAAAAAGTAAAAAAAAATGCCATTCGGCGGTTAAAATGATCATTAGACATATGCATATCAAATTATCAGATATTTTATAGAGATTTTAACAATAAGTATAATTTTTTTTTACATTTCTATGGGTTCCGTACCAATGTTTATGCGTTAGACGGCGACGCAGCACTTGCGAGCTTCGACATTTCGTCTCTATGCAGTTCAAGCAGTGCGACTGCTTTGAAAAAAAGTT